CTTAGCCCACGCTAGGTCCCCCTAGACCCTCAGTTTCACTCAGATCCCCTAAATCTCAGACACCCCCTAGATCTCCTCAGACCCTCAGTTCCACTCAGATCCCCCCAAATCTCAGATCTTCCAGATTCCTTCAGTTCCTTCCATTCTCCTAATTCTCCTCCAGCCCCTCCAAATCTCCTCACCCGCCAGTCCCTCAGCACCTCCAGGACTCCTCAATGTCCCCACCTCCCCAGATCTCCTCAGACCATCCCAAAATCTCCTCAGGCTCCTCATAATCTGCTCAGACCCCCCAAAATCTCCTCAGCCCCCAGTTCTCCTCCTCTCCCCTAAAACTCTTCCACCTGATTCCCCTCAGCCTCTCCAAAAGCTCCTCATGTTCCCAATTCCTCTCAGCTCTCAGGAGCTGTCACCCCTCCATTTCCCCTGAGCCCACGCAAAACTCCTCAGAATTCCTGATTTCTCTTCAGCCTCCCTCAGTTCTCCTCGATCCCCCTGAACTCCCTTAGCTCCCCAAATCTCTTCAGCCCCCCCAGGTCCCAGCCTTTCCCAGTTCCCCTAATACCCCACCTCCCCAGTTCCTCTAGTCCCCCCCCAGTTCTCAGTGCCCCAGTTCCACTCAATTCCCTCCCTGGTGCCCCTCAGCTCCTCTCTCTGCCTCTGCCACCCTCAGTGAGGCTCCACAGCCCCCTCAGGGACACCCCCAAGTCCTCCCCGTACCTCCTCATCGTCCTGAGGATCCCTCCATTTCCCAGGGGGTCTCCAGCCCCTCTCAGGGTCCCCCCAGCTCCTCTGTGGGTCTCTTGCAGCCCCCCAAATCCACCCACAGGGGAAGGAAGAGCGGGTCAAATCCCACCCATTCCTCTTCTCCTATGTCCAGGGGATTGACCTTGGAGCTTTTGAGTTGTCATTTTAAAAATTACTTTAAAAAAAAACCCACAAAATTAAGGCTCTTTTTCATGTTTTCCCAAAATGTTCTGTCACAGAGGAGGATGGAGAGGAGAGGGCTGTCCTGGAAGGAAATGGTGCCTCCAAGAGAGGTGGGAAATGGGAAAGGATTAGGGATGGGATGGGAAAGGATTAGGGATGGGATGGGATGGGATGGGATGGGATGGGATGGGATGGGATGGGATGGGATGGGATGGGATGGGATGGGATGGGATGGGATGGGATGGGATGGGATGGGATGGGATGGGATGGGATGGGATGGGATGGGATGGGATGGGATGGGATGGGCACCTAAGAGGTCTCCACCACAGAGTGGACATCTCTTTGCAGCTGCCCAGAGTGTCAGAAACCTCTGGAACAGGTCCTGGCCACAGCAATGGAGCTGGGATAGAGGAACCATCCCCTGTGGGACTTCTGGGCCTGTCCCTCCCCACATTCCCACTGCTCTGTCAGTCTCTAGCTGGGATCCCCCATCACCCAGCATTTCCCCATCCTGGAAGCTCCCCAGATCCATTAATTATCCATGACTCAACTGAGAACTTGAGCCAGCAGCTCCAAAACTCCCTTTTCATCTGGTTTTTGGATGCTGACACCCAGAAGTTGCTGCCCAGCATTGGTGTCACCCCAAAAAGGAACACTGGGAGAGCCTGGATGCCCCCAGAGCTTCCCTGATGTCCATGTTTGCCCTTGCTGGGTTAATTTCGATCAGGGCTTTCACTTCTGCTGTGGGATTTTTTTTCCCTGTGATTAAGAAACTGGTGGTTTTAAACCTCGGCACCAATTTAGGCATTTTCTGATTTTTTTTTGCGGGGGGAGTGGAGTTATCCAATCCCAAATCTGCACTGGGAGGAGACAATGTGGGTCACTGCTGAGCTTGTGGGATCCACCAAGGATTGGTGAATATCTCCTGGGATTTTCCTTGCTGGGAATGGCTGGGATAAGTGACACTCCAGGCTTTTTTTCTGACCCTACTTTGGGTGAATTAATCTTGGGTGTGGGAAAGGGGCCCCTTTCCTGGGAAGGTGGTTGGTATGCAGGGAAAAAAAAACCAAAAAAAAAAAAACCAACAAAACCCATGCCCAGCTCCATCCCAGGCTGCAAAATGAAGGAAATTAGTGCTTGCCTGCCGAAAAAAAATATGATTCCAAGGCTGGTTTTGCTCCCAGGATAGATCCAACCACAATTAAAAGAAACAGAAGGTGGGAGTGGAAGAAAATCATGCTGGAATCACCATCACAGGGTTTCGGCAAAGCCACGGGGCCGTTAGACCTGCACAGAGCAGTGTATCCTTCCCATTCCACCAGCACCAGGAAAACAAATCCATCCAGGACCTCCAGCTGAGTCAGCAGAGAAAATGAGATTTTTAGGGATGGCAAGCTGGGATTTTCCAGTGAGAAATGTGGTTCCTGAGTGGTGATCCCCTAGAACTTTTCCAGTGTTCCCAAAGCCTGTGTCCCAGATCATGGCACACTGGAAAGGGAATTCTTTGGGAAACACCTTCATCCCACCCACCTACTTGTTTCCTTCCCCAAAAATCCCTTGTTTTCCATAAAAACATTATTGAAAGCACCTACCAGAGTGGGCTCCCCTGGGATGGGTGGGCACGCCGGACATTGGGGAGGCCAGTATTCCCAGTGACAGCTATCCAGATGAGGGAAAAGGCTCATTCCAGGTTTCTTGGCATTAGCAACCCCAAAAAGTAGGATTTTCTCCTTGGATTGGCAGCCATGGAGAGTACAAAGGGCACTGTCTGATGCTGGTGTGAAGCAAACATGGAGGTTTTGGGCTGGAAAAAAAAAATCCCCTGAGGTGCCAGAATTTCCCATCTCCCTGCAAAGGGGAGAGCCCTTGGGCTCTAATTAGGTAACGAGTTAATTAGGATTAATTAGTTACTGTTTGCAAAGCACTGCGGAGATGAGACCTGTCGGTGTGGGGCAGCTTCCTGCTTCCCCTATGGAGCAGTGCGGGATCCTCCTTAGGAAGGGGGTCCATAAACAAAGTGGGGGTTAAAGCCAGTGGGATGGTGCACTCCGGGAGCATCCTGCCTGCTCCCGGCATTCCAGCAGGGATGTGTTTCCATGCCAGGATGGAAACACACACGCCAAGAGCCGAACGGGCACGTCCCAGCGTGCCCATCCCGCCGGCAGCAAGGGGGAACATTCCAGCGCTGCGGCACACGCGGCACGCGTGGGGAGGAGACGGGTTTTCCCTGCCCGCCGGCTTTGCCGGATCACCCAGACTCTCACCACGTTATGGAATCCTCCAGCCTGCTGGAACCGCAGCAGGGAAGGGCTGTGTATCCCATCAAAAGATTGGGAATCGAGGCACGGTGGTGCTCACACAGGGTTTACCGGGAGGTAACAAAGCCAATTTACTAATTAACTGGGATTAATTTCCCTGTTTGCCCAAACCACCCTGTGGTTTCCCTTCGTTGCCCAATGAGCCGCCAGGATGAGTGTTGGCAGTGCTGGCTGAGTGCCACGTGCTCTGGTGGGACGATGCTCTCCATTGCCCCAAATTCCTGCAAATTTCAGCCAAATGCTTAGGATACAATTAAATAACCCATGAACTATATGGGATGGGATCCCCCAGCCCTGAATCTGAATCTGGGGTATAAAAAAGATTTTTCCTACTTTCCATGGTTATTTGATATCATTCCAGCTGTTCCTCAGTCCCCAGAGGGTCCCAGAGGGGAGACATGACCTGAATTCCTAAAGCAGGAAAACAAGCAGGGAATAAAAACAAGCCCATGTGGGTTTGTTATATTTTTTTAGCTGTTTCCAAGCTTTTGGGGCCTAGCAGGAAGAGGAATAGAGCAGATGGTTATTCCCTGGAAGGGGATGGGGGATAACCGGGAAATGGGGTGTACCTGTGTTTGGGGGGAGGAAAGGGGGTGCCAGCAGTGGGAGTGGGGTGACCCAGTGGTGAAAGCCAAGCAGTTTGTTCCTGTTGGCTCTTGGCCAGACAGTCACGCCTCTTCCCAAATATGCAGCTCAACTTTCCCTCAGGAACTGTGTCCCCTTCCCTGCTGCCCCCTCCATCCTCCAGCCACCCCTTACCCCCACCCTGGGGTTCTTCCTTTGTCTCTCTCGTCCCTCAAGGGGGGAGTGAAGGATCCCAGAGTGAAGAAACCTCATTATGGGGCAGGCAGTGCTGCTGCTGGTCCTGACTGGTCCCACCATGGCCAAGCATTGCAATGACACAGTAGATGCCTGGCACCCAAAACGCCTCTCTGTGATTTTTGGCTAAACTGGTACTTTTGGGAGGAAAGCAATAGGTTTGTCAGTGTCAGTTGTGGGGTCACCTGGCTCTTGTCACTGGTGGGTGCAGAAAACTGGGAGGAAGAGAGGGATACAGGGGTAGGAGTACAGGGGCAAGGAAGGATAGACAGGATGGATAAACAAATGGAGAGACAGAGGGATTAAGGGATGGACAAGAGAAATGGATGGATGGATGGATGGATGGAGGGATGAAGGGCAGGAAGGATGAAGAGATGAGAGTCCAGGAGGGTGGACAAATGGATGGATGAAGGTTTTAAGGACTGGATGGATGGACAGGGTAACTAAGGAGATGTGGAGGGTTGGAGGGAGGGAGGAGTGGATGCACAATGAGAGGCGTGGATGATTGGACAGAGGAATGGACAGAGAGATGGGTGCATGGACAGATGGGTGGAGAGAGGGTCAAGACAGACAAATGGATGGATAGAGAGATTAAGGTCTGGAAGGGAAGAAGGTTGGACAGGGGACCAGGAGGTAGGTGGAAGGATGGATGGAAAGATCAGAGGACAGAGGGACAGAACAACAGACGGACAAATGGATGGATCAAGTGAGATGGCTGGGTGGACGAGAAAGGGCTGGACAGAGGGGCAGACAGGGATAGAAAAAGGGCCTAAGGTCAGGATGGGGAAGGATCAGTGTCCGGCTGTCCGGACAGACGGACGGGACACGGCTGGCGAGGCCGTGGCCCCTTTAAGCGCCCCCCCGCGGGCGGTGATGGTACGCGCCGTGAGGCCGCGCCGCGCGGGGGACAATGGGGTGGGGGCGGGCCCATTGTGGGCGCGGGGGGGGGCGGGCAGGAAGTGCCGCGCGGCCGCGCCCCCTCCTGCTCGCCCACCCCCGGCCCGTGGCGGCGGGGCCGCGGATCCCACCGGGAGCGGGCACGGCAGCGGAACGGCACCGGGCAGCGGCTGGGTGAGGGCACCGGCGGCTGAGGGAGGCGCGGGCTGGCACGGCACGGCACGGCACGGGGGTTGGTGTCGAAGCCCGGCGCTGCCGGGAGCGGGGGGCGGCTCGAACCCGCGGCTCCGCGGCAGCCGCCGGCAGCCCCAGCCCCGGTCCCCCCGATGGAACCGCAGCCCCGACCCCTCCAAGCCCTGCCTCACCCCCAAATCCGGCCTCAATCCTGACTGCTCAGCCCCACCCACCCCTGTGCCCCCCGTTCAGCCCCATCCCTGCCTCTCACCATTAAACCTCAGCCTGATGCAGCCTCAGCCCCGCACCCCAATGTCCCTGGTACCCCCAGCTCCCCGTCAGACCGGCCGGCATGCTCTGTGTCTGATTCACCCCAGCCTCACCCCTATTGTGTCCCCTCCCAGTGTTGCTTTGATCACCTCTATCCCACATCTGCCCCCTGATGCTCCCATTGCCCCCACTGCATCCTGATCCTCGTAGTGCAGCCCCTCCAGTCCCCACATTGTATCCTGACCCCCAGTTCCCCCCGCTGCACTGCAACCCCATTGCAGCTTGGTCCCCCCACATCCCCCTGTTGTGTCTTGATCTTCCCGTTCCCAGCTGCATCCTGACCCTCCCTGTTCCCCCTCTTCATAAATCCTCTGGCCCCTCATTGCTTCCTGACACTCTTATTTCCCCCACTGCAGCCCCTCCAGCCCCCATTGCATCCCTACCCCCACCTTGCCCTCCATCACACCCCTCCATTCCCACCTGACCCCCATCCCCCTTATTATCCCATAGCCCCCCTTTTATGCTCTCCCCTCTGAGGCTCCCTCATTCATCCTCGCTGCTCCACCCAAAGCCCCCTCTTCACACTCAGCCCCCCATTCACCCTGTCCCCCTCTCCACCATCCCCCATACCCCTCTCCCCAGCCCCCCTGACCCCATACCCCTCTCCCCAGCCCCCCCAACCCCATACCCCTTTCCCAGGTCCCCCTGACCCCATACCCCTCTCCCCAGCCCCCCCAACCCCATACCCCTTTCCCAGGTCCCCCTGACCCCATACCCCTCTCCCCAGCCCCCCCCAACCCCATACCCCTTTCCTAGGTTCCCCTGACCCCGTACCCCACTCCCCCTGACCCCATACCCCTTTCCCCAGCCCCCCCGACCCCATACCCCTTTCCCAGGTCCCCCTGACCCCATACCCCTTTCCCCAGCCCCCCCGACCCCATACCCCTCTCCCAGGTCCCCCTGACCCCATACCCCTCTCCCAGGTCCCCCTGACCCCATACCCCTCTCCCAGGTCCCCCCGGCCCTGTACCCCTCTCCCCAGCCCCCCCCTGACCCCGTACCCCTCTCCCCACTCCCCCTGACCCCATACCCCTCTCTCTGCCCCCAGCCATGGCATCCAGCCTCAAGGACGAGCTGCTGTGCTCCATCTGCCTGAGCATCTACCAGGACCCGGTGGGGCTGGGCTGCGAGCACTACTTCTGCCGCCGCTGCATCACGGAGCACTGGGTGCGCCAGGAGCCGCAGGGCACCCGCGACTGCCCCGAGTGCCGCCGCACCTTCCCCGAGCCCACGCTGGCCCCCAGCCTCAAGCTGGCCAACATCGTGGAGCGCTACAGCGCCTTCCCCCTGGATGCCATCCTGGGGGCCCAGCGCAGCCCCTTCCCCTGCAAGGACCACGAGAAGGTGAAGCTCTTCTGCCTCACCGACCGTGCCGTGGTCTGCTTCTTCTGTGACGAGCCGGCCATGCACGAGCAGCACCAGGTCACCAACGTGGATGACGCCTTTGAGGAGCTGCAGGTGGGTCCCTGTGGGATTCCCTGCTCCGGGTGGCTCCTCCGGGCTGCTGTATCCTGCTGGTCCCTCTCACTTCCATGGCAGTGCCTTTCCCTTTTGTCCCTGCACCCGTCCTGAGCCCATGGGTGTCAGTCTTGTGGCTTCCTCCCATCTGTCCGTCCCTGCGCTCCTTTTTCCTCTCAGGGTCAGCCCGGTGCCTTCCTTCTGTATGTCTGTTTGTCCCAGCAGCCCATCTCTCACCTTTGGGGTCAGTCCTATGGCTTCTTCCAGCCCTGTACTCCTTTTCCTTCTCAGGGTCATCCCTGTGCCTGTATCCTGTCATCCTGTCTGTCCCTGCACCCCTCCTGTCCCCATGGAGGTTCAGAGGGGTCAGTCCCATGGCTTCCTTGGGTCTATCTGTCCCTGCAGTCCCCCTGTCCCTGTTTTCCTGTCTGTCCCTGTGTCCCTGCACCTCTTCTTTTCTTGTTGGGGTCAGTCCCATGCCTTTTCCCATCAATCTGTCTGTCTGTGTGCCCCTCCTGCCCACGTGTCCCTGAACCCTGTATTTCCCTGTACTCCTTTTCCCCATTGGAGTCAGTGCCATGGCTCCCTTCTGTCTGTCACTCACCCCTCCTGTCCCCACTGGGGTCAGTCTGTCTGTCCCCACAGCCCTTTTGTCTGCGTCAGGGACAGCCCATGCCTTCCATCCCTCCATCCCTCCACACTTCTGGCACTGCCCCCCTTCTGGGATCCCCCTTCTCCATCGCCACTGGAATTCTTTGGGAACCCTCAAATCACCCCATGGCTGAGCTGCCCCCCAAGCAGGACCTTCTAATCCAGGACCCTCATTCCACAGGGGCCACCCACGGCCTGGCCATCCCACTGCCCCATAACCCCATTTTGGGGTTGGTTTGGGTGGGAAAGCTCCATGTGGGATCCCTTTTCTCCCCGAATCACCTATTTATGGGTTTTCCATCCTGTCCCCAGCGGGAGCTGAAGGAGCAGCTCCAGGGGCTGCAGGAGAGTGAGCGTGGCCACACGGAGGCCCTGCAGCTCCTCAAGAAGCAGCTGGCTGAGACCAAGGTACGTGTGAGGACACCTCTGTCACCCCTGGGGACCCCCATGATTCCCCAGCCCCCCAAAGCACAACTGGGGTCATCCTCATTGCCACCCCGATGACACCCCAGCCCTGACCCTCACCAGCCTGCTTTTGGAACTTCCAAACACTCCAAACTGTACAATTTCATGGATTTGCTCCATTTTTTTTTTCTTTCTGTGGTACCTCAATGGGGCTGCTCATCCCTCTGCAATTTCCCTCAGAGTAGCTTTGGTTTATCCTTTTAATTAATTTAATTAATTAACTCCTCAGTCAGGAGTTCAGTGTCCAGTGAGGTGCAACTTTCTCCCCATCCCTACCAGCAACTGAGGTGGGGTTTTTTAGGGGTTATTTTAGGTGTCTTTTTTTTTTTTCTTTTCTTTTTTAGTTTGGTTGGTTTATTGGTGTTTTTTTTAGGGGTTTTTAAGGTGTAATTTGAGGGATTTCAGAATTTAATTGAGGATTTTAGGGTTTTTTTTAGGGTTCTTAAAGGATCTCTTTAAAGGTTCTTTAAGAATTCTTTAAAAGCTCTATAAAGTTTTTTGGGAGGTGTTTTCAAGGTCCTTTTGGAGATTGGTTTAAGATTCTTTGGAAGTTTCTTTTAGTGTTCTAGGTTTCTTGGGGAGACTCCTTAAGGTGATTTTTTAAAGATCTTTGGGAGGTCCTTTCAGGTTCTTCAAAAGATTATTTTAGGGTTACTTTAGGGTTCTTGGGGAGTCCTTTTAGGGTTCTTTCAGGTTCTTCAGAAGATTCTCTTAGGGTTACTTTAGGGTTCTTGGGGAGTTCTTTTAGGGTTCTTTCAGGGTCTTCAGAAGATTCTTTTAGGGCTGCTTTAGGGTTCTTGGGGAGTTCTTTTAGGGTTCTTTCAGGTTCTTCAGAAGATTCTCTTAGGGTTACTTTAGGATTCTTGGGGAGTCCTTTTAGGGTTCTTTCAGGGTCTTCAGAAGATTCTTTCAGGGTTACTTTAGAGTTCTTGGGGTGTTCTTTTAGGGTTCTTTCAGGTTCTTCAGAAGATTCTTTTAGGGTTACTTTAGGGTTCTTGGGGAGTCCTTTTAGGGTTCTTTCAGGGTCTTCAGAAGATTCTCTTAGGGTTACTTTAGGGTTCTTGGGGAGTTCTTTTAGGGTTCTTTCAGGGCTATTTTAGGGTTCTTGGGGAGTTCTTTTAGGGTTCTTTCAGGTTCTTCAGAAGATTCTTTTAGGGTTACTTTAGGGTTCTTGGGGAGTTCTTTTAGGGTTCTTTCAGGTTCTTCAGAAGATTCTCTTAGGGTTACTTTAGGATTCTTGGGGAGTCCTTTTAGGGTTCTTTCAGGGTCTTCAGAAGATTCTTTTAGGGTTACTTTAAGATTCTTGGGGAGTCCTTTTAGGGTTCTTTTTAAGGTTATTTGCAAGGTTTTTTTAAGGTTCTTTTCGGATTTTTGGGGAGGTTCTCCTAGGGCTCTTCATAAAGCTCTTTGGATGGTTCTTCCAGAATCCTTTTAGTCCATTTTTTAAGGATGCATGATCAAATCCACCCTTGTAGCCCCCAGAACTCCCTGATCTGCTGCCCTTTTAGATATTTATTTGGGGATTAAGGAACTCCTGGACTGACCAGCAGAGCTTTGGGTGCTCCTAACCCCTGTTGCACCCCAAGTCCTCAGCCAAGAGCCTGCGGGCGACGATCGGGGAGGCGTTTGAGCGGCTGCACCGGCTGCTGCGGGAGCGGCAGAAGGCCATGCTGGAGGAGCTGGAGGCCGACACGGCGCGGACGCTCAGCGACATCGAGCACAAGATCCAGCGCTACAGCCAGCAGCTGCGCAAGGTCCAGGAGGGCACCCAGATCCTGCAGGAGCGCCTGGCCGAGGCGGATAAACACGTCTTCCTGGCCGGCGTGGCGTCCCTCTCCGAGAGGTGGGTGTGAGAACCCCGGGATTGATTCGGGGCTCAGTGTGGTGGTAAAGTCTCTCCTCCAGCCCGTGCTTCCAAAGAAAAACTCCACAGCCTCTTGTTCGGTCTCAAGGCAGTTTATTGCTGGTTATCTAAAAGATTGTCCTCGCCCACCACGGCTGCCTAGGTCTGCGGCCCAGGCAGAGACACACACACTCCTGACACCCTCACTGCCTGCTGTCTTCTTCTCCCTCCCCACCCAGGGCTGCTGCTGTCTTTTATATAATATATTACGTATTATGTGTTTATAGATTTTCCCCAATACCTACTATCTATGTTACAAGGTGCTTTTCTACTCTAAACCAATCTGTGAGTGCCAACATCACCAAGAACATGGAGGTAAGGAAGAAGAAGGAGGAAAAACAGGATCAGGCCCACTTTCCTCCATCTTAGAACTTCTGACCCCCCTGTACAAAGTAAAACCCCCCTGTACAGGTACTAAAACCCCCCTGTACAATACTAAAAAATTTTACCCTCTAATTTGTGACTACTTTTACTGTACCATCTAACCCTCTGTGACTGCTTGTTCCACCTTCAAAGTTGGTAATTCATTCCATGGTTCAAACTCAAAATCACAGCTGTTTTCAACTGCTTGCCAGGGTCTAAAATGCTTCTGACCAAGGCCTGGAACCTCTAAAAATGTCTGAGGGACATTTTGGATTCCGACAGGTGGATGGCAGTGAGGGGATGGCAGGGTCCCCGGTGTCACCCCCACCTCGGCACCGTGTGTGTAATTTCTGTAGTTTCCCCCCTCTAGGATCCGACCAGCTCAGAGATATGGGGCTGTGAGGGGAGGAATACCAGGAGAGGGAAAGGTATTCAAAAGAGGCTCTTACCCCAGGGAAGTTGGAACAGCTCTCTTTATTCTGTGGTGTCCATGGAGAGCGGGGCAAAAGAGAAAGAGCAGGAAGTTTTAGGGGTCTATATAGGTTTTGGACAGGGTGGACTTTTCTGGCTCCCCGCCAACCCCGTTGGGGCAGGGAGGAGGATCCAGGGGTTATCTAGATCAGTCACAGGGTCCCGGGGGAAGGGGGGAAAAAGGGGTGTCCATGAGCTCGCCGTAACACGTGTGTTCTCTGCAGGCTGAAGGGGAAGATCCACGAGACCAACCTGACCTATGAGGACTTTCCCACCTCCAAGTACATGGGCCCGCTGCAGTACACCATCTGGAAATCCCTCTTCCAGGACATCCATCCTGGTGAGGGCGCAGGGATGGGGGAGTTGGATGGGGTGGGGAGGTCACCGGGGATGGGAACACACCAGGGTGGGACGGGTACACGCCAGTGAGGGATGGGGAAGGGGACGTCACCTGGGAGGGAACGGGATGTCATTGATGCCCCTTGTCACTGACAAGGGATGGGGACATTGCTGCCAAGGGTCTGGGACATCAGTGATGAGGAGCAGGGACACACCAGTGAGGGACAGGATGAGCATGAGGACGGGACACCCCGATGAAGGATGGAGACAGGTGGGACAGAGCACCTGGCTGTCTCCAGTGCTGTGCTAACCCTCGTTCCCCCTGTCCCTGCTGTCCCAGTGCCAGCAGCGCTGACACTGGACCCCGGCACTGCCCACCACCGCCTGATCCTGTCGGACGACTGCACCATCGTGGCCTACGGCAACCTGCACCCGCAGCCGCTGCAGGACTCGCCGCGGCGCTTCGACGTGGAGGTGTCGGTGCTGGGCGCCGAGGCCTTCGGCGCTGGGGTGCACTACTGGGAGGTGGTGGTGTCCGAAAAAACCCAGTGGATGATCGGCCTGGCCCACGAGGCCGTGACCCGCAAGGGCAGCATCCAGATCCAGCCGAGCCGCGGGTTCTACTGCATCGTGATGCACGACGGGAACCAGTACAGCGCCTGCACCGAGCCCTGGACGCGGCTCAACGTCAAGGGCAAGCTGGAGAAGGTGGGCGTCTTCCTGGACTACGACAAGGGGCTCCTCATCTTCTACAACGCCGACGACATGTCCTGGCTCTACACCTTCCGGGAGAGGTTTCCCGGGAAGCTGTGCTCGTATTTTAGTCCTGGGCAGAGCCACGCCAACGGGAAGAACGTCCAGCCGCTGCGGATCAACACTGTCCGTATCTAGCGGGGGTTTTTGGGGTGTCCCCCAGCCCCAACCGGTGGTTTCCCGCTCCAGGAACTGGTCCCGGTGCTGGGCAGGATCTGGCATTCCGCCTGCTGCTCTCGGTCCTGTGCTTCCAGGGAATCCCAGTGCGGGGGGCTGGGGTATGGCAATAAAGGATTTGGAGAGAAGGGGCTGGGTGGTGGAGAGCCCCAGGGTGGGGGTAATGGGCTGGGGGCACCGTGGGGTGCCACGGCAGGGGTCTGTCACCGTGCTGGGGGTGCCACACCGTGCTGGGGACACTGTGCCGTGGTGGGCTGTGCCATGGCAGGGGTCTGTCACCGTGCCGGGGGTGCCACCGTGCTGGGGACACTGTGCCTTGGTCTGGCACTGTGCCACGGCAGGGGTCTGTCACCGTGCCGGGGGTGCCATGGGTGTCACACCGTGCCGTGGGACATGTCCTGCGACCCGTGTGCCACACGTACAGCGCCGTGCCCCGCTGTGCCATGCCATGGGTGCTGTGCTGGGCCAGGCTGTGCCACGCTGTGCCAGCCCTGGCAGGGCTCTGTGTGCAATGTGGGGGACACTGCGTGTTTTGGGGTGTACAGGAGCTGGGCCGTGTGGGGTGGGCTGTGTGCAGGAGGTGCTGCAGAGGGGGTGCTGTGAGATATGTTGGGGTGGGCTGTAATGGGATGTGGTGTATAGGGGTTATATGTCGGGGCTGGGCTCTATGGGGCTGTCGTATAGGGAGGTGGGCTGTACAAGGGTGTGGTATATGGAGCTGTGTGAGGAAGTGGTACATAGGGGTGGGCTGTACAGCAGAGTGATATAAGGGGGTGATGTTTAGGGCCTGGGCTGTGCCAGGACTGTTGTATAACAGGGGAGATACACAGCTGTACAGGGGATGAGCTGTGTGTGGATATAGGGTGATATATGGGGCGGGCTGTTTATAGGAACGCTGGGTTGGGGGCGATATGGAAGGGTGGGCTGTGTGGGGGGCAATGTGTGGGGGGTGGCACACACCAATAAAGGACAGGAGGGCGATGTTTAGTGGTGGCACACACCAGTACAGCACCAGTACAGCACTGGGGGTGATGTGTGGGGGGTGGGACACACCAGTAAAGGACAGGAGGGCGATGTTTAGTGGTGGCACACACCAGTAAAGGACAGGAGGGCGATGTTTAGTGGTGGCACACACCAGTAAAGGACAGAGGGGCGATGTTTAGTGGTGGCACACACCAGTACCGCACCAGTAAAACACCAGTACCGCACTGGGAGCAGTTCTCGCCCCCGCCCGCCAGGGGGCGCTGTGCCGCCCGCCCCGCGCCCCGCGCGTGCGCCCAGGCCGGGCAATCGAGCGCCGAGAGGCGGACGGGGCCCGCTGCCATCTTGCCCCGGGCTCAGCCCCTCCGGTACCGGGGGGGGCGCGGGGCCTGAGGGGGCACCGGGGCCTTGGAGGGGGCTGAGGGAGTCAGGGAGCTGAGGCGTCGCTGTGGGCCTGGGAAGGACCTTGTTGGGCGTTAAGGGTGGGGACTGTGGGGCTGGAATGTCTGTGGGGCACTGAGGGCGGTGGGGGTTGTGATTTATGAGGGGATGGGGGGGGCTTCAGTGGCGTCTATGGGCGGTGCGGGGGGTGTGAGGATGGAGAGGGGCTTTGGGATAGGGGTGTCTGTGAGGTTGGGGGGCGAAGTGTGAGGAGATGGGGCCGCTGAGGGGAATGAGGGGTGACGGGGAGAGCCCTTGGGGGGCCCTGTGGGGTGTGACAGCACCTGCGAGGGTCAGGATGGGGTGGGGGGGGAATGTCTCCTGTGAGTTTGAGGATGCATTTGGGGGTCAGCTGTAAGGCTCGGCATGAGTTTGGGGGTCAGCTCGGGCCGCAGGAGGGATTTGGGGGAGTCCCCCGTGAGGATGCTGTGGGGGCAGCCCCTGTGCGGGGTTCCCGGTGATCCCCCCGTGTCCCAGCCATGGATCCCGGCGCGGGGGCGCGGAAGGAGCGGCCGAAGCCGCGGGAACCGGCGGCTCGCCTGGAGAAAGCCAAGCAGAGGTCGGCGCAGCAGGAGCTGAAGCAGCGGCAGCGGGCGGAGGTGGGAATGAATGCGGGAATGCGGGAATGTGGGAATGCGGGAATGGGGAGGGACACGGCCCAACCCGCGGCCGAGCCCCCTGTGCCACCCGCCCTTTCCCAACCCCAGATCTACGCCCTGAACCGGGTGATGACGGAGCTGGAGCAGCAGCAGTTCGACTCCTTCTGCAAGCAGATGCAGGGATCCGGGGAATGACAGCTCTGCCCTGCGCCCCCCTTTTCTAACCCCCCAGTATTTATTATCAAACCGTCCTTTTTATATCAATAAAATCTGTGCTGGTCCTTTGTCTCCCTGCCTCCTGCTTGCTCCGGGTGCGAATGGCGTGGGGGAGGCCAGAGCGGGGCCGACGCCAGAGCAGCTGCAGTGCCGGGTGCCAGCTCCAGCCGCGGCCCCATCCCGACATTCCTGCCGCAGGGAAGGGTCCTGCCCTCCCGGAGCTGCGGTTTATCCCAGGGGGACACAGCAGGAGCCACATCTCGCAGCTGCTCCTGCCGCCAGAGCCTCCCCGGGGATCCTGAGTGTTTCTCCAGCACCAGGTTTGACCTTCGCTTCCTTCCTCCACCCACACCCTCTGTGCTCCAGCCGCCGCTGTCCGGCAGCCTCCGGCTCTGCAGAGACTTTGGATCGAGTCCTGCTTCCCCCTTTCCCTGCCCCAGCGGTGTCGCACTGAGAGGGTGAAAATAAACCACATTTGGGATGGTGTTTCCCTGCAGCCACGGATTAAGTGGTGAATTCCAAACTGTTCCCAGTGAATCCCGTGTCAGAAACCCTCTGGAAGTTTGATCAGCATCTTCCTGCTCCCACCCGGGGAGGGCCTTCTGTATTTTTGGAGTGTGAACCTCCCTTTGTAATGAATTCCCACTGGGCAGTGTGAGCGATCCCAAAACTTCAGTTTCCTGCGCAGAGAAGAGCTTGGGGGTCTCTGAGCAGAACAAACTCTGGGTTTCCTGTTTGCCAAGCATTTGGAGCTCTCTGCTGTTGGTGTGGGGGGATGGGGGTTCCCTCCATTCCCCCCAAAGGACAGGGATTTTGGGGCTTCCCTGAAGTTCCCTAAGTCTTTTTTTACCTTAGCAGGCTCCTCCTGCCACCCGGATTCAATGGGAAAAGCGAAGGGAGGAAGCAGCACCCAAAGCAAGGACGAGGAGGATGAGGATGAGGATGAGGAAGGCTTTACTAGGCTCTAGGGAGGGCTCAGGCCTTGCAGCTCCAGAGGGCGAAGGGGAAGACGATGTAGGACGTGGCCCAGGCCAGGCAATAAACCGCAGCCACCGCCGTCGGTGCCAGCAGGACAGCCACCACCCCTACGGAGCGGGAGAATCCTTGGGGATCTGCTCTCCCTCCCCTTCCACCACCATCCCCAGAGGTTCATCCCCGTCCTTACCTCCAGCATAAACCAGTTTCTTCCAGAGCTGTGACTCCAGCACCTTGTCGTGGGGGTAGAAGCCGCAGTCGGCCATGAACAGGATCATGGCAGCCGCGGCGACGCGGAGCAGGGCCACGTGTCCCCCGGTCAGCAGGAAGGTGCTGGCCAGCAGCGCCGAGGCGTAGGGGCAGGGCAGCCCTCGGTAGGTGAAGGGGATCCCTGTGGGGTGTCAGCAGTTCAATATGGGGGGTACAACCCCAAGCCCCCCACCCCTAGGGGCTCATCTTACCGCTGGAGAAGAAGCAGAGGCGGGCAAAGACGGCCAGCGCATAGGCGAGGCTCAGCAGCCCCCCCAGCACACCCTGGGGCTGCAGCAGCAGCGCCGTGCCCAGCCCAAACGTGGTGAAATCAGCAAAGTCATCCAGCTTGGCACCTGTGGGGGCAGCGAGGGGCAGGTGCCAGGGGGGCACCGGGCACAGGGGACACCCCTGGGGTCACCCCTGGGCCGGGGGGACGCACTCACCCAGTGCCGAGCAGGCGTCGAGCTGCCGGGCCACGGCCCCGTCGGCCAGATCCAGCAGGAAGCCCAGGAGCAGCAGCCAGCAGGAGTACTGGTATTGCCTGGGGGAAAAACTCCACTTCTCAGCCCCTGTTCCCCTTTTTTTCACCCCATTTCTCCTTTGTTTACCCCAAATATTGAGGGGGGAGATAAGCCGAGCCACCAGGTTGGCCACAGAGAGAGCAAAACTGGGGTGATCTCCACTTTTCATCCTGTCTTTGCCCTATTTCCTCTTTTTTTCCAGCAGAAGCACTGTGATCCCCACTTTGCAACCTGCTTTTTCTTTTTTCTCTTTTTTTTTCCCCATTTCCCCTTTTCCCCACCCTCCACTTGCTTTGGATGGAGGAGAGCCTGACCTCAGAGGCTGGCACTGGAGGGAGCAGATCCAGGGTAACCCCCACATCCCAACTCCTTATCATCACATTTACACCTTTTTCAGCCTATTTCCCGCATTTTCCAGAAAAATTGGGGTGATTCCCATTTCTCAACCCTCTTTTTCACCCATTTTCAGCCCATTTCCTCAATTTTCCCCCCTCGTCTATTGCTGATGCAGAGGCCAAAGGTGAGGAGCCTTTGACCATGGAGAGAGCCAAACCACAGTGCCCCCCACTTTTCATCACCTTTTCCCCCCTATTCCCCTGCTTTTCCAGCAAAACCAGGCTGGCCCCCATTTTCTACCCAATTTTCACCCTATTTCCATCTTTCCTCCCCTCCTTTCCCCCTTTTTCCAGCAAACCAGGGCAAACCACACTTTTCTACCATCTTTGCCTTCCCTTTTCCCCATTTTTCCAGAAAAACAGGGTGACCCCCACTTCTGTGCATATTTTTCCCCACATTTCCTCTCTTTTTATCCCTTTTTTCCCCACTTATTGAAGCTGCAGAGGCTGGAGGGGAGCCTGACCACCACCTTGGCCACAGGGAGAGCACAACCAGGGTGATCCCCGCCCCCCCAGCCGCATTTTTCACTTCGTTTTTCCCAATTTCCCCCCACCTGTTGATGCTGCAGAGGATGGAGGAGAGCCCGGCCAGGAGGTTTGCCACGGAGAGCCCGTTGGCCGCGTTTTTCCGGAGGAATTCCAGTGCCCGGCCCCGTCCCGCTTGCTCGCTCAGCACCAGCTTCTTGGTGGACTGGAAAATACCTACAACCCCCCACCGTGTTCCAACCAGGGAGGGGCTGCAGCCCCCCCAAAAACATAGCAGGTTGGTGCAGGGGTTCCCCCTCCTTAAACCAAAATCCCCCAAAATCTGTTTAGGAAGCAGCAGGGGATTGATTTGTGCAAGCTCTGCTGCTGAGCTCCCCACCGGCGGCCAAAAATGGAATAAAAGAGGCCAAAAAAAGCAAAGAAACGAATAAAAGAACAGTAAAATATAATAAAATAAAGACAAATTAAGCCAAACCCAAGCTTAAACTAAAAGCACAACCCCGGTTTAAGCTCTATGGATCTTATATACCTATCGGGCTAAGCTTTAGGGAAAGAATTTAAGGGTCCTGTCCTTTGCCCCCCGCTTTTGCCGTGTCCCAAAGCCAGGCAGATCCTTCATCTGAAAGAAAACAGGACGTCAGAGCAAAACAAACCCCCCGAGCCCCCTCAGAGCCCCTCCCGAGCCGAGCCCGTGCGGGCTGATCGCCGGAATTCCTCCAGAACAGCTCCCCAGGTGGGAAAAGCGGGAAGAGCCGCGGGAGGAGCGGAGTACCGGGGGTCGGTGCGAGCGACCTTTGGACACCGCGCCCGGAGCCGCCGGGCCGGGCTGAGCCGGGCAAATCCCCCCTGAGCCCCGCACGGCCGCTCCTGCCTCTGCCAGAACCGGCGATTTGGGTTTTGGGGGGTTCTTGGGGTCTAAAACCGTGCTGCGCCCCACCTTTTATCCCATAATTCGGGGTGAGGTTGGGGGATTTTAGAAAGCGACATTTGGGGGATCTCGGAAAGCGACATTTGGGGATTTGCCGGCCCTTCCCGGCCGCCAGGCAGGATCGGGGCTCCGGGAATGTTCCGGAGTGTCGCAGCAAAGGATTTGGGCACCTGTGAGCGTCACCGAGCCCGGGCACAGCCGGGGCTCCCCAACCCGCCCGCTCCCGGCGTTTCTCACCCCAAAATCAAAGTGCCGGGATGGGAGGGAATTCTTTAACCCTGCGCCGCTCCCGCTGCTTTTATCACTGCTTTAGGGGGGGGAAAAAAGGTGATTTTGGTGCTTCCCAGGTGTGTTACGAGGGGGTTGTGCCCCCAGGGCTATCTCACCCCCCTCCAAGGCGCAGGGAAAAGGGGTTTAGCCACAGGAAATACAAAGTTAACCTATTTTTGTGGGGCAATGCATGTATTTTACGCTTTTCTGCTCCGATAACCCTAATTTTTCTGCTAACCCCCGCCAAATGATGATTTTTTTTTAAGGTATGGAGGACACCTCGCAAAGGGGCCGAGTGGCATCCGGGTGGCACTTACCGACCGGCGGTGACACCATCCACATGGCAGCGGCGGCTGTGGCGGCAGTGACAGTGACAGTGACGTCCCGGTGAAGGGAAACTGAGGCAGGGGCCGCTCCGTGGGGCTCCGCGCGGTGCCGCGTTATATAAGGAAAAGCCTCTCGGGCTGAGTCACCCGGCGGGGGTGGGTCCGGCCAGAGGCCACGGACACGGACACGGGGGGTTCGCAGCCGCTTGGCACCACCGGCGAGGGAGGAGCTGCCCCGGGGGGCCGGGGGACCGTGCCAGGCTCTCGGTGCCCCTGCCAGCCTCCCAGCGCCCACGCCAGGCTCACAGCACCGGTGCCAGGCTTGCAGTGCTTGTGCCAGCCCTGCAGCGCCGGTGCCAGGCTCGCAGCACCCGTGCCAGGCTTGCAGCACCCACAGTGTGCCTGCGAGAGCAGGGCCGGGCTGGGGCACTGACAGCACCTGTATCACACTCCCAGCACGGGTGTCTCACTGAGAACACCTGTCCGGGCTCACAGCACCCTTTTGTCACTCTGCACACGCCTGGATCAGTCTCACAGCACCAATTCCAGGCTCACTCCTCTCCTTCTCCAGGTATGGCCCACCCATGCCATGCTCACAGCACCTTTGCCAGCTTTGGAGCCCCTTTGGCAGGCTCACACCACCCACACCCAGCTCATGGCACCCATCCCACACCCCCGGCACCCATCCCACACTCCAGCACCCATCCCACACGCATGGAACACATGCCAGGCTCTCAGAGCCCATCCCAGGATTGCACCATCCATGCCAGGCTCACACCACCCATATCCTGCTCACAACACCCCTGGCAGGCTCACTGTGCTCACACCATGCTTTGTGTTGCCCATGCCAGGCTCACAGCACCCATCCCACACTCACAGCACCCATGCCAGGCTCACAGCACCCATCCCACACTCACAG